ATAGGCACACACATTTACCATCAGGCCTGTATGTGACGCAGTGTTAGGCAGGTAATGGCTGGGCAGGCGTTACATGCCCGCCTATTTTAAGCCCGTATGCCAGCTTGTTACTCGACTCTGCTTTGTGCTAGGGTGTGAAGTGTGCTGTGACATGTGTTCAGGAGGCGGGGTGATGTAAGAGGTGTGCATGTTTGTGTTACACATATGCTTGACTGAAATTGCCTTAACTTTCTGTATATGTTATGTAAATTGGTACAAGTTCTGCAGCGGTCAACAAGGCTTCTGTCAATTTTCCCATTTGTTACTGTCGAGCTGCCGATTTTTTAAGTAAGACTGTCACTTATCTGCCATCTTATCTATCCAACCAGCCTTTCTATTCACCCACTTTCCTCTCCTTTTTTCTTTTTCGACTCACGAGGGGGAGAGGTAATTTAATGGAGAAAGACTGCAAAAGAGAAGAGAGGAGGGTGATGGAGATCATGGACAGAGATGGTGTGATAGGGAAAGCAAAGAAATGTGGATGCTGTGAGATAAAGCAGCAGGAATATATGGGAGAGAGACAGGCCGGCTGATAGGGAAATAGATCGGTGGCAGGCACGGATGGTGATGAAGTGATGGAGAGTGTGAGGAGGAGGAGGATGTGTGAGGAGGGTGTCTGAGCTGAGTGCGGGGGAAGGGGGGGTTGGAAAGGGAGGGAGAGGTGGAGGAAATGGATAGAAATAGCTGATGCACTCTGAGGCTTACAGAAAATCAATAGCAGTCAAGAGGGGAAGCCACAACCCCCACCCTTCTCCCTCTCTCTCCCTCTCTGACTGCTCTCTCACCCTCAACTCCTCCACTCTTTATCTTTTCCCGTCTCCCTTTTCCCCCCTTGGTGCTCTCACCCTTTTAATGTACGTTTCCAACCTTGTCCTCTTCTTCTGTACCTCCACTTTGCCCTCTTCCCGTCCCCAATATTTCTCCTCTTCATAACCCCGCTTCCTCCTCGCCTCCCATCATTGTTGCACCATTCTTGTCTTTTGGTCTTTACTATTACAGGCCGCTGCATGCTTTAGATGAAAGAGCAGGGATCATCATTCATAATTTTTTTTCTTTTTCTTTTTCTTAACTTTCCAGAACAAACTGATGTATATGTTCATTTTCTACTGGGAAGGTGTGGTTGAATGAGAAAAAGGGATGGTTTTATGTGGTCTGCAAACTTCATTCTTCATACTGTCTGTAAAGCAAGTGTTGATTGCTTAATCTTTTCTACATTTGAATCGCTTTCCACCTTTTTACATTTAAACTCACACAGCAGCACATACTGATTGGGCAAAGCTGAATTAAATTTTTCTGTTTTTACTTGCATGTCTTTATATGGCTAGATAGTTTGACCATTTCACTCGCATTTGCAACTAAAAATAGATGTGTGCAAACTGTAAAATGTATTTAGTGGCACGTGTGTGTGAAAAAAGTATTACAAATTTCAGCTCAAGCTACCTCGTTTTTTTTTTTTTTTTTACCAAAAAGGTAATACAACACTATCAACAATGAAGCAGTAGCTGCACTGAACCAATGTTGTCCATTGAAAAGAATCATGTAATCCAATCTCAACACCACTTTTTCTGTCTTAAAAAACTGAGTAGACAATTTTTGAGCATTTAGAATTAAGAGGAACTACTGTACTATCCAGCTGTTCATACGTCACACAGTTTAAAGCAGTTTAAAGCATAATTACATAATTAGATAAATACAGTTTGAAGCAGAATTAATAAAAAATCAAGTGTACATTTTGTATTCAAATGAATGAAATCATTTTGCTTTTAAATGTTCTCTTGTATCCCTTACTTAAGGAAAAACATATTATTTGATCAATGTTCATTGTCCCCCCCTAATTTTTTTATTCACCCCTTAATTTCAATTTATTATTTGCTTCTTGGCATCAATCAAGCCCTGATTTATTTAGTCAAACTGTGTGCTCTGACATTACTTAATGCCAGTTGTAACGTTTGTTGTTGTTTTCATCCTTGTCTCTCTCTCTCTCTCTCTCTGTCTCTGTCTCTGTCTCTGTCTCTGTCTCTGTCTCTGTCTCTTTCTTACTTACTTTAAATCATAATATTCCATGCTGTCTGGTTAATGCAGCAGAAAAAAGGAAATTAATTTTATAATTATCTCCATCATGATGCAGTCTGTTGACCTTTGTTATTCTAGCAATGATTTTAGTATTCTTTATTGCCAAAACTATCATCTGATCCCTCATTACCTATGACTACTTTCTGTTCACATTCACAATCCTCTCTATGATGGATACCATCTCATTCCAACTGTAAGTCTAGAAAATTACAACTTGTCCTCTGTTGTGGTCAAAGTAGTTTGATATAAGTGATATATTTTCACTTTGCAAATTTCACTAAAAGAGAAAACTCATCTTTATATCTTTATCTTTACTCATCTCACCAAGTCTTTATACTCTAGTGTATTGGTGCAACATACCTGCACTTCAAGGTTAAACATCCCCAATGAGTAATATAAATGAAACTTATTCACAATTAACATGTTTGCGACAGTGATGAAGTTTAAGGTGATACATGTACGTGTTAAATGTACTTTTCATTGAACTCATTGGTTCAGTTCTCTTTCCTTTGATTCTTTTCACTGTTTTTCAATGCAACACTGACATCAACTCTAGCTACTGTGTGTCTGTGTGTGTGTCTGTGTCTGTGTCTGTGTGTGTGTGTGTTCATAAATTCCCAGTATCTTTCTAGAAGTATGTGTGTGAATGCACGCTCTGCTCTGAGCTACTAGTCACAGTGTGTTCATGCAGACAGTCTGACTCTGGTTCTTGTCTCCATGTCTCACTGCTCTGAAGCACTCTGTCTGTTCTGCCTCTTGAGCTGTGCTGCAGCCTTAAGGTCCAGCTCTCACTTTTCTTCTGTTTGCTCAAGAATTTGACTACACCAACATACAAACAATAATAATCCATATAAATCTCAACACGGGCCCTTTCTCAGCAGGGGAAATGCGATTCAACAAGACCCTGTGCTGTGCAAGAATCCCTGGTCCTGCACAAATGAAGTCACACATGAGAAAATCTTCCACATTACCACATTTCAAATTTCATCATATTCATTAAATCTTCAATATTAGCATCCTCTAAAACAATTTACCATCTCCACACACATTGAAATCCATACTGCAATGCTACTATTCAACTTTCCTTGAGGCCCTAAGTGCAGAGACTAGATTGTGTGGACTGTGCTGTGTGCAGTCTGTGTCAGACCAACAGCGGACATGATGTCATCCAAACATTTTAAACCTGTTCTGTAGCTTCTCTATAGAGTGACTCCATCTGAATGACTCTCTCTGACTCAATTTACCGGACTCTGACAATGTGCAAGTGAGACCATATTCAGGGAGGGAGCTGGATTTTTGCCTATTGTGATCAGTGAATGAGTGTCTTACAGAAAAGCGCTATGCAGCCGGCAAGTCCCCTGAATGCTTCACCACTGCTCTGTCCCCAATCATCTCTATGAAAATAGCCTGTTAGCTGGTTTTTCACTACACTAATATAAGCTTTACTTGCCCCAACCTTTTCAATCCATTTATTTTGCCAGCTCTGGGGATTGGAGTATGAGAGGAAAGGCTTTTTTAAGGATTGAGGAATTCAGTTGTGAAAACCTCACTCTGTCTGCCTCTTCTTTCTCTTTCTCTCCCCTTCTCTTCTTTGTTGTCAATCAGAGCTGTTTTTCAAAGACGGAGGCTGTGAGCAGGAAAAATCCCACAAACAAACAGCCGAGAGGTGAAAAATACTCTTTTAAAAGGCTGTTTTGCATCTATTCCCTTCTAGTTTAGCTTTCTTCATCTCTATGGTAAAGGTAGCCTTGTCTTGAGTGCCCTTGGGAGCACTTACCCTTGGAGTGTATACCACTGCCACCATCTGTGGTGAGGACGTCCCCAGCTAAAGACGTGCCCATGACAAGGGGAAAAACAAAAGCCAGAATAAATAGAAAAGACAATAAAAAGATGAAAGGATTGTGGAAAAACAAAAGAGTAAAAGTCTTAGCCATAATGCGAGCGGCGGTATCATCAGAAAGCTTCTCTAATCCAGGATTACTGTGTTTATTTTGTGTGTATGTCTGCCTGTGTGTGTGTGTGTGTGTGTGTGTGTGTCTGTGTGTGTGTGTGTGTATGCATGTGTGCACCTACATCTACTGGCTCTGATCTGACACAAGAGTATACCATATGTGTTTCAGTCACTTTTGTGCTGTACACATGGTCAGCACCCCTCAACACACAAACATGTTGTCATTGTTTTTGCTGTTGTGTATTAAATCCAAGTTGCGTTAGAACAATAACAACAAAAGGATTAAATGTACTGGATGTAGATGAAGAGGGGACTCCCCACAATGCCTGGGTAAAATGGTGCTATCAATTTCAACAAAAGGTATTACCAACATGTTGTGTATATTGTATTGTAAAATAATACACAACACTGTGATAATTAATACCGTAGCATTTAAACTCACACAGACCAGGACAAGACTGTGTTGAGTGTAACGATCTGTACGGGGGACTGTGTTTATCTGTAAATATGGGAAGTGTAGAAAAATAATGGCCTTTTAATGGCCTTTTTAAACTGCTGTATCAAATGCCATCCAACTCAAGATCTGTGTTTATACTAGTGACACATTGGCTGGTGGTGCAAATGGGGTCACATAAAAAAACAACAAAAAAAAACCCATCATAAATATATTAAATAGGCAGTGTAGTATCAGTGTTGGTAAATGGAATTGTATGAAAATGACTTTTACATACAGTATCTCAATTTCAGTATTGTTTGTGTAATATCACTGAACTTATAACTTCGGATCAGATATATACCGGAACTAAAAATTGATCTTTTGATGAACAAAATCTTGTAATTCAAGAGACATATACAATTATAAAAATGTGGAACATGTAATAAACATGTTTTGTCTCACTGTGTGAACTGCTCTGCTCTTTCCCATCTCTCTGTGTAGGAGCCTCTGGTGGATCCTACCACTGCCACCCAGACCATGCATATGGAGAGGAGAGTGATAAGGTAAGCTGTCATGCACTAATGTCAATGTTCACACCAACACGGGACATGAAGGGATGTTTGTATGTTACACACTGTTGTGGCCCCTGATTGAGATCATGCTGCGCTGTAACTGAGTATTAGATAATATCGTCTCTCAGCTGATACTGGGGTGAATCACTGAGACGCACACACACAGAACCAGACAAGATCCTGATAGTGTGTGTGTGTACACGATGTAGATGCAGTGTGTAATATGTGAGTCTCATCCTGCCCCAGTGAACTCATAGTTGTCTTAAGAGAAGAGGAGGCTGTAGTGTAGCCAGTAAATAAGATTGGATTTTTTCGTTTTGTTTTAAAAGTGCTGCCATGGTGATGAACACTAGTAACACATGACTTTGACCTACTGTGATCTTTAATGGAATATACACTGTGCTTTTTGAAATTTAAAATGGTTTTAAATATGATTTTGTCCAATAAAAAGCACTCACACATGTCTACTACAGATGCACCAATGTGAAACACTGCGGGTCAATACAGCTTTCCAATTAGTTACAAAGATGTGCAGATACAATAAGAATTAGTTACGTTTTTATCACATTATTACTCTGATCCATAAATGACCTGTTCACAGTTTTGTTGTTTAAAATATGTTTTCTAGGGCAAACTTAAAGTAACAAAATAAAACATTTTTGATTTTTGATTTCATAATTTGCAATAATTCAAACAAAGGAAAGGACTTTTGGGGTAAAATGATAAAATGAAAAACTTTAAAATGAAAGTTTTTTTCCATCCCTTTTCCTCAGTTGGAAGCTGAGTAATAACTGATGTTCTTCTTTGTGCCTTACTCTCAGGCACTTAATCAGTTTGTTGTGTAGACGTTTTCTAACAGAAGGGCCTCCTTGAGAAACTCAAACACAGCAAAGTTTGCAAATAGCAGCTCTGCTTTATGTTCTATGAATGCTGAAGTATGTTCCTAAATTATACAATTTGAGATTGCCAGTAGCAGCATAAGCCTGTGGCAAGTAAGCCCTCCATGAAATGTAAGGATGGAGAAATGTAAAGTGCACTGGTTTGTTGTTTAATCATTTTCCTTATGGGCAGTTGTGATCATATTGCGCAATTAAATCCATGATTACAGACCGTTTAGCATCTGTTTTAACTGAGTTGTCCTTTTTATCTTTCTCTTTTATTTATTTAAATTGATTTATATAGCTGTTTATTTCATTGTCATCATTTAATTTATTTTGTTTTTTTAATATTCTATTTTTTAAAAATATTTTTTATTATTTAAACTTCATCATTGTAAATGAGGACCAGCCCTCGATTTCCCGAGTTTGGCAATATACTGTACGTATATATATGTTTTAGTTTTTCTGTATTTGAATAATCAGCTGATGGCCAATTGTGGAAACTTTGTTAAGCAGCTCATTACTGGATGATATATCCTTGCACCCTTATGTCTACATTAAACAAATAGCTTTTCCATTCTGTTGAGAGTTTATTAGAAAAACTATAAGCTTAAATTCATAAAGGGAAAAATCACATTGTATATTTTCAACATAGTATTACTGATAATTTCAGCAATACTGCCATGTAAATGATGGCAGTAAATGGCATGAAAACACACACATGTAGATCATATAGGCACAATTTAAAACCTAACCAGACTATACAAGTGTACTTCAGTAAATGATCATCACCATCACAAGTGAAGGTCTGCGTTAAGAGCAGATGAAGCGAAAACGGAGAAGGAGATGAGGGGAGGCAGGATGCTGAGGAAGGTGTTGCAGAAAGCTTGGAGGGAGAGAGAGAAAGGAGGGAAGGAGGCAAGGCCAAAAACAGGGAGGGGGTATTGCTAATGATTTCACCTCCAGCTGTGGGACTTGGTTGGAGGGAGAGAAGGGAAGAGGAGGGGAAGGAGCAAGGGAGGGAGGGGAAGGAAGGGAGGAACAGTGGCAGAGGAAACAAAATGGGCTTTGAAATCTTGTTGATGGAAAGAAAATAAGTGGGGGAGGGAGAAGTGTTTGAGTGTTAGTGGAAGCATGTCTGCAAATATTAATGAATCCGTAAAAGCAAATGACCATATTTGCTCAGTGTGCACATTCATGCACAATTTCTAGAGCATGAATGCTGGAAAAGAGGACGCTGGGCTCAGTTGTATTTCTCAGGTTTGTGTTAGCATACACTCTGGGATTCTCTTTATTTTGGTTCTCAGCAATGACAGCGAAGCCACAACAGCTGCTGGCCACAGTAACTGCGTGTGTGCAAGTGGATGCATGCATTTCCCAAATGTGGACATAGTGAAATAGAACGTGGTAGGGTGTGTCTGCACTCATGCTTCAGGATGTCTGTTCAGCCTGGTGTGTGCACTCAGTGAATGTGGACAGAGTGAAAGGGGATGGGAGGGTGTGTGTGTGTGTGTGTGTGTGTGTGTGTGTGTGTGTGTGTGTGTGTGTGAGTGATTGGTCTCTACACTGTGAGCACTGCAGAATGTGCTGTAATATCAGCCATAGAGCAGTCCGCAATGTTTCTGGGCCGTGCTGGGAGTCACTGTGTGTATCTGTTTGTGTGCATGTTGAGCTTCTGAAAATCAGCAGGATTTTTTTCCCTCTATATGTGGAAACACACTTGGACCAGACGTGTGTGTGTGTGTGTGTGTGTGTGTGTGTGTGTTCGTGTTCACACAACAAGCTCTCTATGAAAACATAAGGCCACATTATGGCACATTGCTTGAGGACACACACATGCACACTCCTTTGTCTGACACCGCTCCCTTTCCACTAACGCGGGCAGACAGGCCCATCAAACTTTCATACTAATGGGCAATAGTCTGCATGTGTTAAGACAGACTGTATGTGTTTTTGTGTGTGTGTGTGTGTGTGTGTGTGTGTGTGTGTGTGTGTGTGTCCTGTCTAAGAACTTCTTGTCTTGTCCCCTCAGATTTCAGGCTGGGGTCTCGGACAGGACAGACAGAGTTAAAAGGGGGAGGGAACAAGAGGAAGAGGAGACTGTAGCGGGATTCATCTTATCTGATTGGGGGGGGGGCTGGTTGTTGAGGGGGGTCGGTTGTTGAGTGGGGGGTATGTCAGGGTTTGGATGGAGGAGGCTGGCTTAGATATGAAAATGGGCACAGTAGATGTCCCAAGGGTTTTGGGGTTGGGGCTAGGCTGGTAGAGAGGTTGTGGGGTGTCGGGTTGGAGGAGAGGGGGTTGTTGTTGAGACGAACAGAGAGGGGTGGTTTAGGGGCGGGGGCGGCTCCGGTGCCCTCGATCCTATGTAGAAATGGGCATAGACAGTATGTGTCCTCCATATCTTTTGATAAAATGGGCTGTAGAAATGTTTCTGTTTTTTCCTCTTTTTTTTTTTTTTTTAACAAAGTCAGGCTATATGACTTTCGTTTCATTAAGTGCCACTAGCTGTTTGATAGCTTGTGTCAGTTTATTCAAATTCATATGAATAGTTTATCTACATTTTTGGTTAAAACAGATTGCAAGTACAATAGTTGAAGAAAACTTACTTTCTAAAAGTGATTAAAACTGAGTCAGTAACAATAAAAGGAACAGACCAAGTTAGTAAAGATTTTGACTAGTGTCAATGAAAAATAAAGCAGGAGCCATTGCAATGAATTTTGTCTACTATTTGAAAGGATTTGAGGCAGTCCAACCCCATTCCCACCGCACACCAAATGCTGCCTGTCGTAGACATTCAGCTGGTACTTGCAGAAACAAATTAAAGAACAAAAATGTATTTTGAGCAATGGATGAAGCAGGGAAGGATGTGTTCACATATAATATGGCTTTGAAGGGAAAGTCATCTTGGACCCAAATGTCCAGGCATGGTAATCTACAAGGCTTATGAAAAGACAGACACACTGAAAACTGTGGTGTTTAACCCTCACTACGACCCAATTTCTTCTGTCATTTAGGGTCTGGTGCGCCCTTAGGCTCCGCCAAGCTTCACCCCTCTCTCGTGTCTGCCTATTTTACACACTGACTCTACTTCTCTTATTCTGCCAATGCCTTTTCCTTCTTTCCAGCCCTCTCCTATCATGCAGTCTCCTCCAGTCAAGACTAATTTAAGTCATTGTTATTGTTTGTCTTTCCCATAAGCTGCTCAAGTTCAGGTCACATTTAGTGCTATGTGTGAGTGATAGAGCCATTAGGGCACGGTGTGTTTGGCCCTACAATCAAAACACATTTTGTTCAGGTTTGTTGGAACAGCAGAGTTTGTCTCTAAAGAGCTTAAGAAGGTATTGTTCTTTATAGAACAATATGAAGAACTCAAACAGTGGCAGCTGCCCATGTGTGAATGTGAATTTGCATGTCTGCAGGCGTTTCCATAACTGTATGAGTGTGAGTGTGTGTGTGAGAGAGTGAGTGTGCATGTGTTTCTGCTGCCTGCTCTCCAGCTGTTTCCTGTTAGCTATCACACTGCTCTCAAGGTTGCTGAGCTGTATATATGTGTGTCTGTGTGTGTGTGTGTGTGTGTTAAAAGTCACAGCCGCTGAGTCATTTTTATCACACTTTAACAACGTGTCTCCCCCACAAAGAGGAGAGGTGGAAGCAGGGATCAAGTAAGTAGAGGGAAAAAAAGTGTTGAGACGGTAACTATAAGGAAACGTGTGTGTGAGTGTGTGTGTGCGTGCTCTTTAAGGAACCTGTGTGTTCTTCAGAGCACAGCTAAGGTCCGCGTCAGGAAGAATGACTAAGAACTGACACATCAGCGTGTGTTTGTGTGTTCTTGCCTCATCAAGTGCCAAGTGTGAGAGTCACTGCTTGACTGTAAGTGAGATGAGTCATAGATGAGTTGATGGGGCTGAAACAAGAGAAAATGATAACACCTTAGTCAGTCTAAACCTGCGTGACTACATATTCAGCTACGTCTCTGGTTTTGAGTGTATCACTGAGTTTTTTGACTCAAAGTATTTGCCTAGCTCTCCAGTTGAGGGTGTGTACATATGACTAGCACATGGGCTTGTGAGAGCTTGTCTTGCGTTTGCATTTCCTCGCAACAAGAGGAAGTGACTTTGAACCCTCAGGACCTCAGAGCACTGGTGGTGTAATATGCTGTCTTTCACACAAATACACACACACACACACACACACACACATGCGCGCCTTCAAATGCACATAAGCATACACTCACTCTGGATCATACAGGAAATGCCACGAGTCACAAAGGAACTTATGTCTATGCAGTAGTATGGATTCTAGGCCAGAGGGAATGTCAAGCATGGTGAAATTGATTTATTTGATACGAGTGCTATGGGTCACTAACCACAATACCCATCCCCTCTCCCACCCTCCTCTCCTTTCCTCTCTTTCCTCCCCCGTTTTCCACCCCTCCCTCTGCAGAGTGAGGAAAGCCCCAGTCCAAAGCGCCAGAGGCTGTCCAGTCAGTCCGTCTTGGAACAACTAACCTCATCCGCCCCCCCACCATCCACCCCATCTCCCCCCATCCGCCCCTGGGAGTCAGGACCCCCAAGTCGAAGGCAACCTCACCCCCACACACACTACCACCAGGAGAGATGCCTCACTCCTGCTCGGCACAGACGCAGGTAAGTGAATTTCTTGATTTGTACAACTTAGTTCCACTGTGATGAGTTAACTGTAGGTCCCAGATATAAAACCGCCCCTTTCCTCCCACCTCTAGCCCTCCAGCAAGGCGTCAGCGCGGCCGTCTCTCCAGACCTACCCGCCACTTGCCTCCACATCACCACCCCTCCACTCAAGGTCCTGCACCTCGCCTGTCGCCATCAGAGCTCCAGGATGAAAACTTCCACCACAACCCCCATCCCTCCACACACCAGACATATCCAACACACACGCCCAGCACCTATGGTCAGCCCCCCACAGCTGGTGGTGGTGGGGCAGGTGCAGAGGAGCCCCGAGCTTTCCACCCCCCTACCTTGTCGCCACGGCTACTGCATCCGGCTGCTCACCACCACCATCACCTCCATCATCAGCAACAGCATCATGCGGCGCAACAGCAGCAAGGAGCCATGGTCATGGACTTGCATGAACAGGTTAGTGTGCAAATGTCAATTTTTGTTTGATATCACCATAGTGTGTGTGTGTCTGTGTGTGTGTCTGTGTGTGTGTCTGTGTGTGTCTGTGTGTGTCTGTGTGTGTCTGTGTGTGTCTGTGTGTGTCTGTGTGTGTGACTGCATATCAACTGTGGTGTGATTTCTCCTCAGCTGCAGCAGGCCAGTGTACCAGTATCCTACACAGTGACCCCAGTCCCTCCTCACGGTCTTGCAGCACCTTTGTGTAGTGGTCAACACCTTCCCCCTACCTGCTCCTCACAACAGCAGGTCCCCACCTGCAGTGTGGTCTTCAGCACTGGACAACACTACCACCCGGTGAGAACACAGTCGTGTTTAGTTTGTAGTGTCTGTGTTTGTTTGTTAATAAGAAGTACAGTTTGTGCTGAACACTCTCTCTTACTGCTCAACCAAAGAAAAAGGAAAGTGCTTGAGGGAAAGTGGGTAAAAAGTAGCAATTACCAGCAGCGATTTCCTGCTTGATAGCTCTTGGCTGCCACCTTGTGGCAGGACTCGGCACAATTCAATCACCAAAGTGAGAAAATATGTATTTAAAACATTTCTCTTTTTCCTTTCCTGCTCTTCTTATTCATGCTTTTCCAGATGCTGCAGGCATGTTCAATGCAACATTTGCCAGTGCCCTATGCCTTCCCCTCACTGCTGTCCAGTGACCCTCAGTTCCTGCTTCCTCCTCCACCTCACATTTCTCACCACCCGCCCCACCTCCCCACACCCGGACAGTTCCTGCCTTTCCAGACACAACAGCCTCGATCGGTACGTGAATGAATTCTGTTTTTATTTTTTACCTGATATTTATTTATATTAACTTGCATCATTATAAAAGGACTGGTGTATACCTAAAAAAAGAAAAGCCACCAATATTTTCTACAAGTATTTAATGCCCTCAAACAGAACCAGTGAATAACAAACTCATAGTTCAATTAGTTTTCTAGTCAGACAAAGAGCAGGATCTACAGAAATAGTATTTGCATCTAACAGCACTAGCAAATGAAATAAACTATGAATGTATTAAGTCGTCAAAGCAACACAATAATTATGTTGTTTTTATCAAAGTTTTCTTTTGCATGAGTATTTTATGATGACATTAATGGACATATACTGTAGATCAATGTGTCATAGCGTATGTCATCACAGTCATCCTCTTTATCACTGCAGCAATAATTGAACAAACAGATGTAACTGTAAAAATCTGCTGTCCGACTTTTGTTAAAATGCCCTTCAAAATAAAACAACAGCAGACGTCTTTGTCCCAGTTCTTGTCCCACCATAACATCGTGATCAATAATGTAGCATGTTTCTTCTCAGCCGTTACAGACGATCGAAAATGAGGTTGAGCTTCTGGGAGAGCAGATTTCAGTGGGTGGGGGCTTCAGCTACGCTCACCACCACCACCATCACCATCACCACCAGCCTCCCTCCACCCTGCCGCCCTCCACGCCACTCCAGTTCCTCTCACACCATGACCCCCTGTCGCAGGAGCTCTTCACAGTGGTGAGTACATCTGTTAAATCGTGTTTGTTTTGGAATAAAACATTGTGTAATAAATTGGAGTGATAACTTGATACTTTTCTCTGCCCTTTCACAGCCCTATCCCCACTTTATGCCTCGCCGATTCACAAGCCGGCGTTACCGCTCTCAGCAGGCTGTTTCCCCATCACCCTACCACCCCAGCTTCCTGCCTTACTTCCTGTAAGTCTTTCTCACTTCCTTGAGTTTATGATGATACCACACAAGCGAATTTGCTCTAGATCTGATTATGCCCCAGAGAGGTGACATACAACCTACTAAACTCGTGTCCCTTGTCTTCAATCACCTGTCACAGGTCCATGCTTCCTGTGCCCCCGAATGTGGCCCCCACCATCAGTCTAGAGCTGGACGTGGATGACGGAGAGGTGGAGAACTATGAGGTGGGTCGAACTGCTGACCCACAACATGTTCTTTTGAAAGAGAGAACCATGAAATCAACGCAAATTAATTATTGTGTAAACACTGACACACATGTACCATGAAATCCAGTCACTGGAATTTAAGTGGTTTATTGAAAGAATGCTTTTTTTTTTTTTTTTTTCGCTGAAACTGTGTCGATTGTAAACTTTGGCCTCTAAATTTTGCTTTTCTGTATGAAACCTTCAGGCCCTGTTGAACCTCGCAGAGCGTCTAGGAGAGGCCAAGCCCCGTGGTCTAACTAAGGCGGACATAGAACAACTTCCATCTTACAGGTTCAACCCCAACAACCATCAGTCTGAGCAAACACTGTGAGTACTTCTCTGTCTTTAAAAATGTGTGTGGTGAGGATTTTCTGTTATGGGTGGTTGTAGGTTTGGGTTAGTATGAATTTAAAATGTGTGTTAAATGGCACCAACGTTGCTTTGTCTTACAGGTGTGTGGTATGCATGTGTGACTTTGAGTCTCGCCAGCTCCTAAGGGTCCTGCCCTGTAATCACGAGTTCCACGCCAAATGTGTAGACAAGTGGCTTAAGGTGAGTGAGGACAACTGCATGTCTTAAAATATATCAGCTGTTTCCCTCTGGGCCCCGTCACACCAGAAAATAACAAGGCGAAATTCATCCATGTCTTACCAAATATGTGGTTCTGCAGGCTTGGTGACGTGATGACTACTCACAGGGCTAATTGGCAAGCGGATGGCTAACACGCTAGTCAGCTGTGAATATGCTAGCGTTAGTCAGTCACAAGAGCTCTCAGAGCTGTTTCTGTTTTCTCAGTACTCAGTCTCGTATTATTACCCCTGGCATTTAGTTTTCAGGATAGTACATATTTTCAGTTAATAACTGAAGGTAGAGAAAAGCCAGTTAGCAGAAAGTTAGCAAGCTTGCTAATTGGACAGTTAATTGACACAGTTTACTTTTTTGCAATCCATTCTTTTGTGGAGCAGATTATACCCTGACGTTTTATACAATGGGTGTGATGAAAGTTAATAGAACAGCACCACTATTAACTTAGCTTCCTCTGTTATGGCTTTTTGATTGCTATTGGATTGGTATTGGAATAGCTATAGATTAGGAAAAAAAGTGGCTTTACTTCACTCCCACAAACAAATCCCTGAATCCCAGTGCGATAAAGGGATTTAGCCACAAAATTCACAGTTGCAGATACTGGTGTGACCGGGCCTTTAATCTGCTGACTTTGTGTCTATCATATCTTGATCTTTTAGGTACATTTTTTAAAATCTGTTTTACCTTCATCTCCTTATTTTTCATTTCTTCCAGGCTAACCGGACCTGTCCTATCTGTCGAGCCGATGCCTCTGAGGTCCAGCGGGACTCTGAGTGACCTCTGACTCGTATCGACACCCAACACCCACACTCCCTTCCTCCCACTGACTCCCTTTTGAATGCACAAACCAATCAGTGAATTTATCTCTTTTCTATAACACCATCACTCACAAATTCTGCCACTTAACTGGGACCAGTGCTCCTTAATCCTTCACTCTTTACCCTCCAGGACAGTGAACAGTAATTCTCTCCTGGGATCAGCATTTAGGGGTGTGGAAACTTCCTACTGACTCGAGCTCACTTAATTGCTGGACTTCCTAGGCCTTCTGTTTTGGACTACTATTTTGCCTTCTGCTCATGGTTCCTGCTTTCTATGAATGGCCTTTGAAACAATGCAGGTGGACATATATATGTGTATTTTTTAAAACTCATTATGAACCCTTCCAAACTGATGTGACCTGATCAGTCTTTTACGGATGGACAGAGAAAAGACTGCTTTGAAAAACTTCTGTATAGTTGAACTAACAAATCCTGAGGGAGAATTGGCAGTCCAAAGATTATTTAAATTTCATTGTTATTAGTCTGGTTATAATTAAGCATTCAAATCATGAATTGCAGAGACTGTCATTTCTGCCAGAGTCATTATAATTACAGTTGAACCTAATCAGTCCATGTGTATCCTTGCATTCCTTAACGTGAGCGCAGTCTGTGTGGGGTGAAACAAAGATGCTGTACACTGTGTCAAAGAGCGAGCTACTTTGGAACGGTAAAAAAATATGCTTTATTTTCTCTAGATGCGTATGTGTGTGCACGTCTGTGTGTGTGTGTGTGTGTGTGTGTGTGTGTGTGTGTGTGTGTGTGTGTGTGTGTGGGTGTTACTCTTCCTGTGGTATTTATACAGTTCTTGTGGCACAATTCATTCACTAAATCCCAAATTCTGTTTTTTTTCCCACTTAACTTCAAACTGATTCAAACTTTGTTGCCAAGCTTAGGACCAGGAACTCCTCCAGGGAAGTTCACAGTGCTGTGTCATGTTTCTTTGTGTTTATGCCACACATCATTAACATAATCTAAAACCTTGGCTCCATCACTCCATCCCTGCCCATCTGACATTGTTCTTGTCTGAAAGGAGTAAAGTCTGAAGGCTTTCGAGATACTTTTTTTTGTCATACAGTATTTCCTAGTCATAATGAAACAAATCAGGACTATTAGTCTCTGTGTCATCATATCCACTCAGCTCTCCTGTAAGATAGATAGATCTTACAGAGCTGACCAGGTGGATGCAAAACATTCATCAAAAACATCTCCAAAACTGTCCTTCATGCTCAGTTTACTAGCTTTCTTATAGGAATAAGGCCTTTGAGGACATGTGTCTGTATCCGTCTTGGTACACAAGCAGCTTTCTGTGTGTGTTGGCAGATGCAGACGCAGTGTTTTCTCCATCACTGACAGGGAACAAGTTTAAAGAGACTTATAAGGTCACAGCTAAATCTACTGTTTCACCAGACGCCGGATCTGACACTTCAGCACTTTAATACATAGATTTTCTCTCTTTTCATTGTGAACAAACCACTGATCAGTTTTCAGTTAGTGTGTGTATGTGAACAAACATTTGAATGCATTAAAAACATACATCTCCACTCCTAGCTTCTAGTACCTACAGTACCCCAATGTGTCAACGCTTTTATTTCCTCATGTCCAGAGGTTTTTTTTTTTTGGATTTGTTTCTTAATGATGCTTTTTTTGAATCTCTGTAAGGCCTATGTCAGCATGTCATAATGTAACTCCAAGATGTTCACCTCATGCACAGAGCAGGCTTACTCATGTAATTTATCACTATTTATCACAAATGGCATGTTGCGTCAAGATGACAGCCTAACATAGGACTTAGAGAGATTGTGTTGACAAAAGGTTGGTTTGGAAAGTTCAGCCAGGCACCTGCAGTCTTACATCTGGGATGCCTTTTTTTTTTTTTTTTTTAACTTCATTTCCCAGGTAGAACTTGTATCTACCTAGTGTCACCACATCAGACCAATACATTTGTTTAAACCTATTTTAAATGCAAACCAAGTGTATCAGTGTCCAGGAAGAACGCTTTTTAAAAAAAAAATAAAACTCCTCTTCAGTGTTGTCAGTGTATAAAGTCATGTAATATCCATGGGAATGTTGGGAAATTATATTTTCTGTCATCTTATTTTTTTTCCTTTGGGGTCAAAAGTCATATTTGTGACTGTATGCATCCATTTTGTGTCTTAGGATTGTTTTTGTGTTGGACAGTTTTCTGTTGCTTGGTACACTAGCAATTACCTCAGTCCCACTATTTATGTCTTTTCAGAAAATGGTGCAACCAGTATGATTAGTGCTTATCGAGTCATTTTGCTAATGTTTTCCATGCAAGTTGTTGGGTTGTTTGAATATTTTTCCTTTTAAACTCTATGAAACTCTATCATTAAAATGGTGTCATAGTAGTTTCATCATGTATTATATCTGTAACCAAAATCATTTGAAGGCCTGTTATGATAATGAAATTTTTAACAAACATTTGTACATTTTGTATGAGAGTTATTACTAGTAATACTTTATTAAGTAGTGCAATGATTTTTTTAATCCCTTACCCCATCTTTTGGATTTCAAAAGCTGGTTCAATAATAAATGTATAACATCCTCTTCTAAAACACTGTGTTTTCCTTCTCCTGTCTGTCAGCTTTTAAAATCTAGTTACACGCTTTCTTTTCCACTGAGGTGCACAACACAGTTAAATGATGTGTTTTGAGGACACTCCACTTGGTGGCAGTGTAGTTCTTTTATAAAGATGGCCCTGTTTTTTTCTCCTGGAGTCGCACCAGCTCAGTGTCACCAGTGACATTTGTTTACTTTCCATCAAAATGCTATTTTTACTTTTCTTGACCTGTTCAAATCAAGTGCTGACAACATCTGTAATCACCAACATTTTGATCAGTATATAATTACAATTTTTTTTTTTGAACATCTCTAACATTACTCTGACATTTATTTTGTAATTAATTGCATAATCTAGGATTACTTGTAACTAGGTAAAAAGAACAGAACAGCAGCAATGTTCCTTGGCATTAACTCTGCAAGTCTCTGGACTCTGGTGGTGGAGAGCAATCTTCCATAGGTGTTCAATATTCAGTCCCCCCGTGCCCTGTGTGGAGGTATCTGCATTTGCTATGTTTCCCCACGTCACCCATTTGTCTTTTTCTTACGTCACTATTTCTATGCCATTAGTAGATTGAAGTGCTGTTTCTGTTGCGTTTCTCGAAACAATTCATTCATCAATACAAACAGCACCACACAATGGATTTACCTGCAAGAGCTCGTAACTAACTCAAAATCCTTAGTTTATCTCTCAAAAGTAAATATCCATGTCAATGAACATGTCAGTCGCATCAGAATGACAAGTCCTGATGTCATTTTTTATGTTATGTTAATGCAAGTGGAATACTTTATTATGAATCTTTACAGTGCAGTGCTCATTGTTCGATTACATACCTGATCTGTCTTTGAAACATCTGAATGACTGATGACAAAGTTGTTCTCCAAACATTTAGCTGCAGCCTTCGGACATTGTTAGTGTCTATGTCCTATGACAACTGGTTCAACCATTTTACATGTAATGACTTATGCAATGAACAAATGCAGAGATGTTTTGAGGGCTAAGACTATTCAACAGAGAACCAGTCTGATACATTTTGATGAGCATGACATAAGCAATTGATAATGTAAGAAAAAGCAGAAAAATGTACATAATGTGCCGAAGCATTTGCAATGTGTTCAAAAGAAAGAGAAACTGCTTTTATGATGTGCACAGCTGACAAGATGATGTGGAGGTTGAAGAAGTCATTTTTGAGAATTTCAAATTCTGATCTGAGAAATTTACCAAAGTAACAGAAAAATTGGAGCAAGCTCTGCCGCAACTAGACCCAGACACCACATGTCTTATTGGCTCCATGTAGACCAGACCCAGGATGACCTCTGGAACCCTGAGCCGAGACGAAATAAACAATATCAAACAACCTGCATGAAAAGCTGAATCACCTCTGTCATGCTTTTACATCAAAACCCTTATTTTTTTCCACTACAGACACAGGCTTCTCCTGCTGGACGCCTGACTAGAGAAAAAGCAAAGCCCTTGAATTGCTGTCCTCACCTGTACAACAGACTCGGCACACATGAGTCTGGAGCAGGAGCGCACACATGGCGAGCAAGACCAAATTTAATGAGCTTGACTTACAGCAACAGCCGAAGAAACAACACATAAATATTCATTCTTGTTAGGTCAAGACGATGTACACAGGCATCAGGGACTAGCAATGGTGAAAATCCAACATATCTGATGTAGAGCTGGGTGAGACTGGAAACATCTCTGCTGCATGCGCTCATGCAGACTCAGGTCCGGCAGCTCAAACTGCAGACAAGAGTTTTTCATGAAGGAAGGGGCCATTCCACAAGATGACAGGGTTAGGTTAGGACTCTGGATCCAGAGTCTGCAGCTATTTGAGAGTTTTAATCTGTGGATCTATTGGATCATTTAGGAAGGTTTTAGAAATGTGATAGATGTAAATGTCAAATGTCAGGAACTGTGTCGGTATGACTGACCGATGATTTTAATGTGAATGAGAAATGATAGCTGAGCAGTTGCCCCTGTAAACGACGTTTGACAATGTGATGAGTTGCACTAAAATGTAAGAATGGGTATGTTACTACTGTGCTTGAATTTATGTGTTATCGGGTCTGATCTTTTTCCTTAGAAATTATTCTTCTATTGAGACTGCAGATTTTTGCTCCCTTAAAAACAGTCATTTCACATTCACTTAATTAAACAATCTAGCAGTGACTGTCTAAGGAAGACAGACATTGCTGCCACAGTGCGGTTCACATCATGTTCTCAGACACCACGGGCTGTCGTACTTTGTTTTAAACCTTGCTGTTGTCCTCTGCAGTCCTGCAGTCATCTCATATATGCTCCGTTATGCCCCCTTTATGGAAGCTCAGGTGAAGGGATGATGACTCAGCCTTCATCTCTTGGTCCTTTGAGAAGAGTGATTGTGAGTGTCACTTTCAATGTAGGCTAAGTCGCACCACACACTCTGGACTTGAAGTGTACTTACCCTGGGATGCGATGTAGAGAGGATTGTAAGATGTTGTAAAAATCACTGCACGCCACTGGAACTTAGTGAGGACTTTCTGAATAGCAGTTCAAACCTCAGGGGCCACCAAAACCCAAATTTTCACTGTGTGGCCATTGACTTAATGCAATTTAAAAGATGTTAACTTTGTTTGGAAATATATCAGCTGACATTATGAGGGCATTAAGGTGGGCCTTGCATTATAACTTAACCTTGAGGCCTTGTGTCAAAATGAGTATATGTTTATTTGTGTTTAATCAAATTACTCTACAGTGGAACTAAGGCTGTGTAAAAGCAGGAATCCTGTCTGCAGTGTGCAAAGAAGGAAAGGACTGCTGAGTTAATAAGGACCCAGCTGCTTGTTTTTACCCCAGGGCCCCCCCAGCAGGTTAATGGACCGCCATGAATCACTAAGAGGAACAGTATATAGGAAGCAATGGGGTGCTGATGCACAAATTCACACATGATAGGTGTGTCAATATTTATCATCATTATTGCTTTATTTGTCACCTGAAAACTGTGATGTGGCTTCAAACTGTAGGGCTGCAATATAATTAAGATCCTGTTTTGGTGTCATTATGTCATTACTGCCATCTAGTGGTAAACATCATATAGTTTATATAATGGCGTCATAATAACAAGATTTTGAGGGTCAACTTGGTTTTAAATGAGATTTAATATTATTTTTCTAGCATACAACAGGTAATGGAGGAGAAAATATGAACTGTTGATTTTTCCTCGTATCTATGGTGAAGTTTGAATTAATGTGCAGTAGAAGTACAAGTTCACGCTCCAGATAAATTCTTGTTGAGTGTGTGTGTATACCAACCTTTTCCCCAGCCGTCACATACAAACCAACACTGACAAGTTCAATTGAATCACTGACTGATGTTTTTACTGAAATGATTTGGAAAGAAGTGTTTGAGTGATTGTTTGAAACAGATCCAAGCTGCTCTCAAGATGGATCAGTGAGGTGGTAGGTGTTGTTTACACTGGGAGTCATCTAATCCACCTAAACTGGGTGAAGCACTCCCAGAACAGCAGGAAATGTGATCAGCTACACCGAGCAAACTGAGCCAGTAAAGAAAACAGATTAATGAATGACTAGGAATCTCATCTGATACTAATTTAAATTTCGTTTCCTGGCCTCCATAGACACCCCCACCACTGCTACCTGAGGTGAGGTCGTCCATTTTCACCTCTTGAGCTGACAGCTTTTATCATGACCCTGCCAATCAGATATGAAAACTGTCAGTGGTGCAGGATAAAATCTACAGGCTGTATATAACATATTATATACTGTAAATATAATTCATATTGGTTGATCAACATATTTCATTGCTTATATAGAATGTATGTCCTTTAATATGTACAAGTGTTAAGATATCATGACTAAGCTATAAATGATTTTCCCAAAAATAATTATGCTCCCATAAACAAGCTCATGTGTTGCGTAAAAAAGCAGCATCTGAATGAACATGCAGCCAATAAAAACCTTAATGTGATGATGTAAGAGCACAGGAGGTGGACTGACTGCGGGGTGAAAGCTCTGGGGCTTTGATCGCTGTGGCATATTACACCTGTCACCCTCTGCATGTATGTGTGTGCTTGCACTTTCATTTAGATCAATGCTTTTTTTGTTTGGACAATACTCATAGGGTCCTGAGATACCTGCTGCTAGAAACTCTAATGGATTTATATGATATTTATTAAGTCCAAGTATTTGTCTTTTTTTAAATCAATTTTATTAACTTGGGATGTGAAGAATAAAAACTACAGAAAATCTGAGATAGATGATAAAAACAAGGACAGGACTGAACCCTGCAGCCACAATAAAAAATACAATACCCAGATTAACAGGTTTTGTGTTGACAAGATAAGATACAGGGTCTAGTGAATTATACCCTCAGGTCTGATGCTTTGTGCCTGACCTGTATGAATACACTTATCAGGTATGTGGAGGAGAGTACTGGATTTCACCAGGCTGCAGTCCTAGATGTCACCTGCTTCTCCTCCTGTATACTGGTTTATTTTGCTCTCTCACAACATCCCTGCCGTTACTATGCCAATGACACTCAAATTATTATTTTTTTCCTTTCGCCCAACCCTCAGGCTGAGGTGTACGAATTGTGCTGGATGTCAGCCAGCTACCTCTGATGCTCTCTCGAGATGGAGCGACTGTTTACACTGGAACAGTTCGCCATGTGCACAACCTTTACATTACCACTCATGAATCCATAGTGATTTCTTTTCAGGATCTTTGATTTTAGAAAAGTTTCATTCAAAGCTCAACTAATGTTACTGGATATGACTTTTCCTTTATTGTTTCTACTGGCTCCTTGTTACATGTCAAGCCTTGATGCGCCTCTCAGCTGTTCCCAGCCTCCTGGCTGGTATCCTAACGCTAACACAGATTCTCCTCCATGATTGGCCCATGAATCAGAGCCACCCTCAGTAAGTATTTATCTACTGCCCCTTTGTCCATTCCCTGCCCTCCACACATTATATG